GTATAAAGTGATACTTTTTACTATAGTCTCATATACCCCCTTTTTATTTTCTTTGCTGATGGTTTGGTCCCATAAAATGCTGTTTAACATTATGATGGCTTTTTTCCCTGACGTATTTCTCTCTCTTATGGCTTTGTCTAATGTTCCATCTTGTGAAGTAGTGATACCAAGATATTTGTAGTCACAGAAGTGCTTTATCGTGGTGTTATCGTCTAATATGAGATCTTTTTGTTCTATTCCAATGCACAGGTATTCGGTTTTCTTTTTATTTACTTCTAGAACCCATATATCACTCTTCAATTAATTTTCGTGTCATGTGGTTTAAATCGTCATAACCTTGAGCCATTATTACTTGATCGTATGCAAAGTTGAGCCTATATACCATAGTGTTGGTGAGCGGTATTCCCATTGTCCTGCAATTTTGTTTCCATCTTTTTAAAGCACTTCGAAGTATATTTTAAATAAAGTGGGGAACATATAACATCATTGCTTTAATCATTTTGGTGTTATAAATCCTGTTGTTATTTGTGTCCTTGCTTTTATCTTTGTTATTGGTTGGTTGTATAACACTTTGATGACTTTTATTAATTCTATATTAATATTCGTGCTTTCTATTCATTGCCACAGCTTCTTCAGTGGAACGCTGTCGTAGGTTTTCCGTAGGTCGACGAACATATGAAGCTCTTGATTCCGTGCCATCTTTTTTATTATTATTTGGGTTAATGAGAAAATGTGGTAAATAGTGGATCGACCCGTACGAAATCCTGCTTGTTCTTCTGCTTCATAATCTACGTATTATCTCTCAATTCGGTTCTTTAAAACCATATCAAATCATAAATCCGGTTACAGCTATTCCTCGGTAATTTTCACAATTATTTTTATCACCCTTTTTTTTATATAATATTGAGGTATGATATCTTCCATTCCGTAGGGATTTCGCTTGTGTTTATGCATTCTTGAAATACTCGTCGAAGACATTCGTACAATTTGTTCGTTCCGTACTTAAACAATTCTCCGGGTATATCCCCTGGGTGCTTTGTTCCTCTTCAGCTGTTTACATACTTGTTTAATTTCCTCTGTTATTGGCAAGCCGATTATTGAAATTCTATCTTGGTTTTGATTTCTATGTTCTTGAAATTCGACTCTATTCTCTACCAAAAGTTCTTTGAAATACTCTTCCCAGTCTTCAGGTTTTATGCTCTGTATTACTTCTTTGTTTGTCTTTTCTCTATTTTACATATGGTTGGTTCTTTCCTGACTACTATTGTTTTAGATTTCTGAGATAAGATTGTCATATTTATCTGTACCTATAGTTGTGACCAAAAAAGGTTTATTTTTTACTAACTTTATTGGTCTATAATGACACGCATAAAATATACTGCTCAAACTAACTAAGATTTAGTCATAACTTGTATTATTATACCGCAAATAACCTAATCTGTAATCTCAAGAGTAAGAAATTAAAAAATACTTTGAAGCCTTACTTTTAATTAAAAAGCAATAACGAAATGAATGGAAGAAGCAGTGTTAGTCAAAGATAGCATTTAATCAGGCCATGCTAAACTTTCTATGAAAAGGCGTTTCATTTAATCCTAAAGTTTTGGCACTTCGCGCTTGTACACGACGCTTAATTCTGCCTGTATCTTTCCGAGGACGTCCCATTTACCTTTATAAAGGGTTCAATATACCACCAGGAAATTAAGGTTCAGTGACAAAGAAGATTTTATACATACAAAATGGGATTTTTATTCATAATTGTATATGTTCCTGTACTTTTTAGAAGTAGGAAGAAATAACACAAATACTAGTATGAGATTCATTAAGTCTCCCTTTATGCTCTAATTTTCAGATGACATCTCAGTGGCTTTAGTAATTACTTCTGCTCTACTACTTCCACAAAGTTTAGGATATTGTGGGTGACATGGGTAAGATATATCATCTTGAAGTATTTTGTCTGTAATATTTAATATAAATAAAGTATTATTGTAATGTGTCAAAAAGCCTACATGGTACAATTTATTAATTTTAATTTTACTTTGTCAATTTTGTAACACATCCCTTATAGTCAGTCACAATTTTTTTTTCGACATAATTCTCACGATATTTATTGACGGCCTTGCAAAATTTATTGTATAGTAATTACTTCTTCAGGATGCGTCTTTTTATTGCGCGTAAAAGAGTACCTCATCCTGGTCAAAAACCAAAAATAGTTATTTTTTCTAGGTAGTACTTTTTCCTTGTCAATATGACAAAATTTTCAACACCACTTATCATCGTCCAAATTAAATTGGGTGAGTTACGTTATAACTATTATTTTAAATATCTCTTTATTCTTGTATTTCCCGCTTCTTTGCCGATACTATAGTGTATTTTTATGTATGAGAGAGTAATAAAACAATAAATTATGTATGCAAATCCCTAAACTGTTGATACGGGTGACTCAATGAAAAACAGATATTTGTCAACAAGTTTACAGAAGTATATAGGAAAACAATTTTAAATTGAGTATGACCACCAGGTATAAAGGTTGGAGCAGAATAGAATACAATACTTGTGAGGGTTAATAATCCCTAAATAAAGTTGCCAGTGTCGGAGTGATGGAGGTTAACAGGTACTAATGAATTTGCAAGAAATGTAAGATGTTTATTTTATTGGTTATATATAACCAATAAAAGTTTAATAAGTACCTACCTATTTGCAAAATAAAGTTTAATTCTTTAGATAAAATAAAACGTTTTATTTTATCTGAAATGAGTGCATTCCACGAAGTAAGGGTTTCAACAATCAAACATTTAATTCCAGGAATCTACGACAGTAATTGACTAGATAATTACCTTCTAAACTTATTCCACAGAAAATGTGATAGTGGGTTTTTCCATTTTGTAGGAAGGTCCAAGTGGCGTATTCAAAATTCTTAACAGTTCACTAAAAGTAGGTACTTCAGTTGCAAGGTGCAGTTTATTGTGTATACTAGTGTTATGGAAAATTTGGAAGTGCCGTGTAAACGCCGAAAAATTGGTCCTTTAACAGTTAATGAAAAAACATTAATATTTAATTGTTTTAAATCATTACAGACAAACGTTTATGTGAAAGTGTTGACGAGACCGTTGAGTTGGTTAGCAGTACACTTGGTGTTGGGAAATCTACGATTTACAGAGTTATTAAAGAAGAGAAATGTGGTAGTTTTCAAATGCCACGTAATGCTCCAGGGAAACCAAAATTTCAAATAGAATATCATTTTAAAGAAGGACTTCGACGGAAAGTGCATGAATTCTTCTTTAGACAAGAATTTCCAACATTGGATAAAGTTCTTGTCTCAGTTCGAGATGATAAGGATTACCCAGAAATGAGTCGAAGTACGTTATGGAAACTTTTAAAAGAAATAGGCTTCCGCTGGAAAAAGAATCCCAGAAAGTCTGTTTTATTAGAAATAAGCGATATTGTCATATGGAGAAGACATTTTCTAAGAACCATAAAGGAAATGAGAAACCAAAAAAGAAAAATATTTTATCTTGATGAAACATGGATCAACGAGGGTCATACACCAAATAAATTTTGGCAGGATGAAACTGTTACAAGTCAAAGGTACGCTTTTGTAAATAACTTATCTACTGGTTTAAACCCACCATCAGGAAAGGGACGCAGGCTGATAATAGTACACATTGGCAGTTCAGACGGTTTTGTTGAAGGTGGTTTATTAACTTTTGAATCAACTCGTACCGGTGACTACCATGAAGACATGAACGCTGATGTCTTTCAAGAATGGTTCGAACAAATGATAGATTTTCTTCCTAAGAACTGTGTAATAGTAATGGATAATGCAAGTTATCACTCCAGACTTATAGAAGGACTGCCCACAACCAAGTGGTTAAAAAAAGACTTGCAGAATTGGCTGAGTTCAAAAAATATTACGTACCATCCCGGATCTATAAGAAAGGAACTTTATTCGTTGTGTGCCCTTCATAAAGAAAAATTTTAAAAATACGAAATTGATGAAATTGCCAAAAATCGTGGAATGACAGTACTTAGATCCCCACCATATCATTGTGAATTAAACCCGATTGAACTGGTATGGGCACAGATAAAGAGTGAAGTTTCAAGAAAAAATACCACTTTTAAAATTCATGATGTTAAACAGTTGTTTTTGGAGGCCGTAAATAATGTAAAACCTGAAAACTGGGAAAAAGCAGTAAATCACACTATTAAAGAAGAGGAAAAAATGTGGAAGCTGGACAATATTACTGATAAAATGATCGAGCCAGTTATTATAAATCTTGGTTCTGAAAGTTCATCTTCTGAATCTGATTTGGATTTGTAACAAGTAGCTGTAAGTTTTATATTAATATTTTTATTCATCTATTTAACATACTTTAGACGGTTTTAAAAACTCTTTTTCTCTTTTGTAATTTTTAAAAATTAAAAAAAAAATGTGAATTTTTTAAAACCCTTTTTACTGTAGGCCAGTTAGTTCTAATATAGTGTGTGATAAAAGAGGTCACTTGTGTTTACATACACATAACACTTTATAACACTGAAATAATTCATTTATTTTTTACAATTATTCAAAGTAATTTTTCAATTAATCTTGAGCACGCCCATGGAGTGGTCGGAGATACCAGTTAAAATTATGCTAATTACTCTCTCGTTCATAAAAATAAACTATAAGTATATTATAGATTCCAAATTTGGACCGAGGTTCCCAAGGTCAAACAATTGAAGATTATGCGCAGCATACCAACTGCTCAAAGGGTCGATACTAAATGCCTTCGGTGGAATGGAATTATCCTAAAATATTTATTACAGATGATAATGACGCAGAAAGAAAAGCCTTAAAACGGGTTTGGCCAGCATTATACTGATCTCGGTCTTGTGCTACGTGTAGGAATTGGTCAAACCTGTCCACTGCCGCAAATTCCTCAACCAAGTAGCACAGTATAATTCCTTAACTTTATACTGTGCTACAAATTATATTCATATGGGACTTAATGAATATTATTTACCTATAATAGACTGTGAATTCGCCTTATCAATAATTTTCATTATAAAGGGTTAAGATCTCTAAGAAATGAGTTAATGAAAACTTTTGAAATGTATAAAAGAATTTGATATGCATTCAGTAAAAAAGCAATAAAATGTTCTATAATTTTACTTGACAAGGGAATTAAAAAACAATTTATTGGTATAATGTAATTCAAATACTAAATACACAAAGACTAATTTCACAGAATTATATAATTTAATCAAGGAAAATAAGAGAATTACACAGAATGCTTTTAAATCGCTACAGTTTTTTTATGAACCTGTCGCTAACTTTCAATATTGGGTTAACCCTACTCGTGCCCGAATTACAACATTCAATTTATTTAATTGTATTTAATCTGCAATGCACATTTGAAGAATTTCTTCGGCAATTAAGAATGGGTATCTTTCAGATGTATGTAATTCTGTCCAGGCGACCTGGACAGAATTACATACATCTGAAAGATACCCATTCTGTGATCTACAATCGAAATATCCACTTTTATTTTTTAACTTTAATCCATTGCTGATTAGTATAATCTGCATCACATTCTTTAAGTCTTCTAGTTGTCTTGCACTTATTTTAACTCTTCTTATAGGATTATATCCCACTAAGACGCTATGGCGACGTCGCCGGCGTCATATCCAAATAATTAAAATTGAAATGTGTGACATGTTACGAAAAAACGTGATTTTCGCCTCTTTTAGCCCCTACAAAGATGGATGCAACAACAAATTATCTCAGCAATATTACCCTCTTATTTCTGTTCTATTCATAGATGATATCCAACAATAATAGAGCAGGTATGAATTATTGTTTGATATTGACTTTTTTGTTACTATTCATGGTCTACATATTGGTATACAAATAGAACAAGCATACCCTTCAGATATATCGAACTCTTTAAAGCTATTTGCAGTATCGAAACTGGAACAACTATTTTAATAATGTCTCTTCGGCTCTATCCGACAATGAGCCTTAAGCTCATACCGTAACCATAGCCGGTTAAGAGGCGTGCGAGCGAGACCTGGATAGAGACAGCCAAAGAGAAGAGAAGTAGGTCAGGTCGGGAACTGTTTTCGAGGCCATACACACTTCATCACGCTAAATCGATTTTGATGCTGATCCTGTTAGAGATGGTTGTTTTTATATTTATGTTTTTGACTTATTGTGTCAATAAAACGTGTAGAGCATAAAGGATCAAAGGTTAAAAATTATATATCCAGGTACAGTAGCGGATCAAGAAAGATAAAACTTGAGTAAGTAAAAATGTACAAAACAAAATGGATGACGAAAGAAATAGAGTTGGGAAAAATAAGTTCTAAGTTAAATGAGCATGAATAAAATTTGGGAGACTTAGTTAATGCAAATCTATTAGTGAAAAGGGAGGCAGTAAGGAAAACTTTTTTTTGATGTCTTAATTCTCTTTGTCAACCATTTTCCATCCACTCCTGAATGTAGGTCTCTCCCAATTGCTTCCATCTTTCTCTATCTTGCGCCAATCTAATCCACTGTTTGCCTGCCACCGCTCTTATGTCATCTACCCATCTTTTTTGAGGTCTTCCCATGCTTCTTGTTGTCGTCCTTGGTCTCCATTCTAGAATTCTCCGTGTCCATCTGTTGTCATTATATCGGGCTACGTGACCTGCCCAGCGCCATTTGATTTTTGTAATTTCTTCCACAATATCCCTAATCTTCGTTCTACGTCGTATCTCGGTGTTTCTAATCTTGTCTCTTAGTGATATTCCAAGCATGATTCGTTCCATTGCTCTTTGCGTTGTTTCTAATTTTTTGGCAGATTTTTTGGTAAGTGCTACTGTCTCCAAGCCGTAGGTACAAACAGGTAGTATGCATGTGTTATACACTTTTTTCTTTAAGTTTATAGGAATGGAGGTGTTTTTCAAGATATGTGCTAGTTTGCCGAAAGCGCCCCAAGCCAGTTGTGTTCTTCTTTTAATTTCAGCATCTTGATTTGGTTTTCCTAGTTTGATAACATGACCTAGATATACATAATGTTCCACATTTTCTATGGTATGATTTTGTATTGTTATATTTGTCTGGTCTCGGCTCAGTATTTTTGTTTTGCTGTAATTCATTTTTAAGCCTACCGCTCCTGAAACTGCATTTAATTGTTGTAACATATCATTTAGTTCTTGGATATTATCGGCTATTAAAACTATGTCATCTGCGAATCTCAAATGGTTTAAGTATGATCCGTCGACGTTGATACCCTTATTGTTCCATTCCAGTTTCTTAAAAATATCTTCTAGAGCAAGAGTAAATAGTTTGGGAGAGATGGTGTCTCCTTGTCTTACTCCCCGTTGTAGTCTTATGGGATTAGTTTTTGTGCTTTCGTCCAGTTTTATATGCATTGTGGCATTTTCATATATGTTTTTAATTATGTTAATGTATCTTGAATCTATGCGTGCATTTTCTAGAGATTCAAGCACTGCCCATAATTCGATGGAATCGAATGCTTTGTGGAAATCGACGAACGCCATATGAATTGGAACATTATACTCGGTGCATTTTTCTATCAGTGTTCTTACGGTGTGCAAGTGGTCTATGGTATTAAAATGTTTTCTGAATCCAGCCTGCTCGATAGGTTGATAGAAATCGAGCTTATGTGTTAGGCGGTTGGTTATGATTTTAGTAAGTAATTTATACAGATGTGATAGCAAGGATATTGGTCGGTAATTCTCGATGTTCGCAAACATCGAGAATGTCTTAATTGGTATCTAAAAATTTAATAGAAATTAATAAACTTATAATTTGACCTTTAATAGTCGACTTAGATGCTCTAAGAAAATAATATACGTCGTATAGAACAATAAAAGAACCCCACATGAGGCAGTTTGTGACTGCCTGAGCTATTTAGGAATTATTAAAAAAACATGTTTCTTCTCCTTACTATATCAAATATAATGTACAGTCTGGTTCTGAAGCTATTAAACAGATTATTTTGACGTTTCGATTTTCAATTCGGAAATTATTTTCAAAATACAATTTAACAAATTAGTTTGTTTTCTTGGTTCGCTGATGACGTGAAATCATCAGCGAACCAAACATGAAGCAGAGGTTGATATAGAACGAACTGGCTAGCGTTTGATGAGTATTCTAGATGCTTGATAGAGAGGACAATATGCCAATCGCCATCGGCAAAATGACTTAAATTCATAATAAGAGAGACTATTCATGAATATACGGGTAAATGAAAAAAAATGCCTTACTGGTGGTGCGAAAAGATCACCAATAAGAGGAAGGAATGCATTGCCATCAGAAGACAGGTTATGAAGACAAATGGTAGAGGAGAAGTAACCCAAGCTAGCACAATAGATACAGTATAAAATGCGCGAAAGAAGCAACTGAACAGGAAAATCCGAGCCAAGAAGAAAAAGCACTGGAGAGAACTGTGTGAAAAGTTGAATGAGGACATTTGAGGTCAGGGGACAAAATCGTAATGAACCAGTTCAAGCTGTACCACCTGTATGAGATGGCACTGGTCAGGAAGCTTGAGGTTACCCGAGAGCTGTTTCCACCTGGCCATTGGCACAGAATGCAGTGGACGATGAAGCTGAGCGAGCTGTACCTTTTACCGTAGACGAACTCGCACTCGAGTGCCCTAACCACACGAAAGGCTCAGGGACTCTATGGAATACCACCAGAAACGGTGAAACGCATTGGCAGTATGGAGTTGACATGATTTTTGCTGCTTGAAATTCAGTGATTTCCGGCATATTGGAAGATCTCGAGGCTTGTGCTACTCCCAAACGGGGAAGACAAGTATCGACCTGTTTGGCTTCTGTCGTTCATAGGTAAATTATAGGAAAGGCTCCTAATAGGGCGAATAGATACAGTGATTAAAGACTCAGACGGGTTGTCACCCAGGCAGTACGGATTCAGAAATAACAGGAGCACGGTGGATGTGCTGATGGAAGTCTTCCGGGAGTTAAGCGGGATGGGGCTTAACCAGAGGTGGGCAATCCTACTGTTGTTTGACGTCTGAAGTGCTTTCAACACATTAAAATGTAATAAAGGGTCTACGAAAGAAAAGATGTCCGAGGTACTTGATGAATTTGGTCTCCAACTATCTATCAGAGTGGAAAATTGTGGAAAAAAAGGGAGCAGTGTTTGACGTGACATCTGTAGTACCGCGGTGGCGGTCCTAGGACCCACGCTGTGGAACTTGGCATATGACGGGGTTGTGAGCCAACAATACGGAGAAGGTCTAATCGCTTTCGCATTTGCAGACGGCCTCGCTATGATGGTAGTGGGGCGGGACAGGAAGGACGCTATCTTTGGTGCAAAGCTTATATCCAATTAAGTCGAGGAATGGATGAAAATGCATGAGCTAGAACTGGCTGCGGGTAAGACCGATGCTATAGTTCTCAAGGGACTAAAGGAAAAGGGACGGGATAACATTCGAATGTGCAGGTAAGAGAGTGGTTCCAAAGAAATGCGTGAGGTATTTATTGTTGACTCTAAACGGAAAGTGCTTTGCGCGCCGCCTCGGATATCATCGTGGCCACGCTGGAGGAGTCCTGTATAACCGAGGTATGTTTCGAACATTTGGACCACCCCCCTCATAAAAGAGAAAAAAAAGTTTGTTTTGTTACTTGGTGATACAAAAATCTTCCAATAGTTACATATAAAATTGTAATTTGATGTTAATATTGGGCTTAAACTTAATTCAAGACCGACTACTTACCATATCGGAATAGTATCACGAGTTTTTTTTTTTATTTTTTATTTACCGATGATTTACAATGGAACTACTAACGAGAGAAATTTACTATCACATTTAAGTTTGGTTGCCGTTTAGAAAACAAGTCACATGCTATCATTTTTTTCTGACGGGCATTCTCAAGTTAAAGTGAGGCCTTCAGTAGGCTTTGGAATTTCTCCCAATCTGCTTTTTTAAAGTTGTACCTTCATCGGTACGTGACTTCTTGTTACTGCACGGCGTTCTTAATCAAGCCCATGATTATAAGTGTATAAGAAATCAGTTCGCAAAATATGT